CGAGTCCCTCTCTCTGAGCAGCTCCCAACCCCCCTCCCTCACTGAGCTGTGGCTGGAGTCCAGGACTGCAGAGGGAGGCTGCGGAAGTCCCTCTGACCTCATGTCTGAGGCCAATGCTGTTCACCTGGAGAGCCTGTTCTGGTTCACACTGGCTGGCAGTGGAGAGGCCATGAGGACTCCATGTCCTCAGCCAGCCCAGACACCGGCTCTGTTGATCACCATCCTTCAGAAGGCCACGGATTCCCTCCTGTCCTGATCAGCTATAGTCATCCTTGGCACCTACGAGGGTCATTCGTGTGGAGCAACTGTAGACTGCACCTGGGGATGAGGGCTGGGCAAGACCTGGGCTGGAGGACTGAGAGGCCAGCAGAGCCCAGGCTGATGGATCCTGGCAGGAACCCATGCAAAGTAGAACCTGAGGGTTCCTTAAGGTTTTGTTTGACTCAGGGCTGGCCTGGGCCTTCTTACGTAGACCACACTGGGCTCACACTTTCAGAGATCAGGCTGTCTCTGTCCCCTGAACACTGGAGTTAAAAGTGTGCACTGTTGCTGGGCAGTAGGGGCACACACCATTAATCCCAGTACTTGGGAGGCAGAGGCAGGCAGATCTCTGTGAGTTCAAGGCCATTCCGGTCTACAGAGTGAGTTCCAGTACGGGCTCCAAAGCTAGAGAAACCCTGTCAAGTGTGCACAGTCACCCCCAGCACTAAAGTCAGAGGGTGTGGCAGAGGTGCTTGTATGTTCTATTCCAAACTGTGGTTTGAAGCCCTTTGCTGGCAAGAAGCACCCTGGGGGGGGGGAGGGTGTAGAGATGACAACAACACACTATATGATAGGATTCATGCCTTTATTCCCAGCACTCTTGAACTGTGAGTGAGTTCAAGGCCAGCCTGGACTACATACTGAGTTCTAGGACAACCAGGACTAGAGACCCTGTCTCAAAAAACAAAATCAAGTGGAGCATGGTGGTACATACTCCTTTAATCCCAGCACTCTGGAGTCCCAGGCAGGAGCACCTATCTGAGAAGCCAGCCAGGACTACCCAGAAAAACTTGTCTAAAAAACAAAAACAAAAAACCAAAAATTACCATTGGGGCACACACCTCAAGAGTAGGTGGTGCCCATATACACAAACCTGGATTGGTTCTGACTTTTGTAGTCCAGATGAGGTGTGGGAAGTTCCAAATAGCTAAAGGGACAGGAGCCTGTGGAGGGGCCCAGCAGGGACCCTGGGGAATGACCCCACAGCTGTTTGCAACTCCTCACATTATGACTCTGAAGCCAAGCCAGGGAGTTCTGTGTGGTGGAGAGGGCTCATCCATGAGCTTCTTGGAGTTGGGGCTTCATCCCAAAGTTGAACACAGTAGCTGCGTGGGACTAAGAAAAGCAGGTGGACCCCAGGCTTTCCAGAACCAGCAGTTCACAGGCTGCAGAGATCTGTGCTCTCATGGACATTTCAATCTGGATTCAAGTGTGTAAGTGTGAACCAAGAAACAGCTGGAGCCGGGCGTTGGTGGCGCATGCCTTTAATCCCAGCACTCAGAAGGCAGAGGCAGGTGGATCTCTGTGAGTTCGAGGCCAGCCTGGTCTACAAAGCGAGTTCCAGGACAGCCTCCAAGACAATACAGAGAAACCCTGTCTCGAAAAACCAAAACAACAGCTGGAGGCTGGGGGGGGGGGGGACACTGTTGCCCCCTATGTATAGGCAGGTAGTGACTGCCCCCAGGTCCTGTCCCCATGAAGAATCAGGACTCAGTGACAGTTCTTTCATTGTCCCCATTTCCTGAGTGATTTAAAACCATGGGGCTTTGCAGCTCTAGGTATCATCTTCGCAGTCATAACTGCGTTACTTGGTCTGGTAAAATGGCTTGGTTCCTGGAGATCGTTTCCACAGGACCTGTGTGCATCCTCCATGCTCTGCCCTCTCAGGCCGGGTGTACAGGGCTCCGTTCATGGGGAGAAGCTAAGTGTGGCCTATGCTGTGTGTCTCCAGTTAGTCTGAGTTTGGGTGCCAAGTGACCAAACTTAGGCATGCTTGCTTTCATGTGGTGTGCTGTGCGCATGCCCAGAAAACTGTCTGGTCTGCATTCATCTGCCTCCCCTGGCACCCCAGCCAGCCAGTGACAGTCCAGGTCTGGGAGTCTTGGTTGTTTGACCTCTGAACCTTGGGATTGTGGTGGTCCGAGTTCTTGCTTGGAATTTGTAGAAACCAAAAGTGAAGAGGATTCAGCCCTGTGGCGGTCTTGGGGTAACCCTCTAGTGCAGGACACTGTCTTCTGGGAGATGGAATCCTCACCCAGGCCATTTCACTGTTAAAGCTGTAGGGCTTGGCAGGTTGGTCTGTCTGCCTCTAGGTGCCAACTTTTTTTCTTTTGAGACAGGGTTTCTCTGTGTAGCACAAGTTGTCCTAGAACTCAACTCTATATACCAGGGTGGCCTCAAACTCAGATCTGCTGCCTCTGCCTCCCAAGTGCTGGGATTAAAGATATGAGTCACTACCTCCTAGCTTTATTATTTTTTTAAGACAAGGTCCTGCTATGTAAATGTAGTCCTGATTGACCTGGAACCCCTTATGTACACACTAGGCTGCTCTGTAATTAACAGAGATCTGCTGCCTGTCCCTGCCCCAAGGTCTTGTATGGGACAATTAAAGTGAAAATATGTCAAGAGGGGTGGTATGGAAAATCATGTTCTGTCTCTCTTGCAGAAAATATTTTCAGAACCGGGAAGCTTGTCCATGACGACCATCACCAGGCTCCGGGAGAGGTGCCGGGCTGCACTGCTGAGCCAGGGCTGAGTGCACACCTCCCTGCTGCTTGCACAGCAGGCGCTTCACCCATTCCTACCACTTTGTTCCGTTGTAAATACTTGAAATCATGACTTCTTAATGTGAGCTTTTAAAAGAGAATCGTTTAAAATCAGCGTTCTACAATTTTTTGCCCATCTTTGGTGTCATAAATTACCTGGTCCAGTGAGATGGCTTAGCATGTGGAAGCAGAAAACGCTCTTTCAAAGTTCTTTGAGACATATGCCCACATTGGGAAAAAGTATACTTTATCTGAGACTTTAAGAATATGAAATGAAGTCAGTTTCCTAGTTGTCATTCAACTGGAAGTTAAAATAGTGACTGTCTTGTGTGGCTCTGATCTGGTCTGTCTGGAGGATAGGACCCACTCCCACCTTCCCAGGATACTTTCTTGGCCAAGACTATGTGGCTGTTTATGTACACAGGGGACAGAGGGACTACGTGACTACACCTGTATGGACAGAGCCCCATGAGTGTCAGATGGGACAGAGCAGCCCACTTGCTGAGCATGGTTTCTTGTGATCCCTAGCCTTTTAGAAACGGCATTACAGCCTGTTCCCTGGCTGCCCACTGTTCAGTGGACTGGCTCCTCAGAAGGCTGACCGTCCAAAACACCCACCCTAATGCCCCACAGTGGACCCAGCACAGCCTAGCAGGCCATCACTAAATCTCCCCTGGGGACAGGCTGCTCTTGAAGCTGGCTCATCAGGTCTTCATCAATGGCAGCTGCCATCAATTGCAAATAAGCACTGAGTCCCTTGTCTTGCAGCTGAAAGAGGGTTCTCTCCCTTACCCCAATGGTTTATCAAGGCTTCCCAGTAGCCTTAGCTGGATGGCCCCAAACCTTTGGAGGCAGGATGTACTAATTCCATCCAGGAGTGGGTGCGCTCAGAGCTATACCTGACACTACTGTGCAGATAGATATTCACCTCCTCCATCCAAGGTACAGCTGGAGATGGCATTCCTCAGTACTACCAGGTGGAAGGGGTGGTGGGAGGGAGGGGGATGGGAGGAAAGTGTCACCTGCCAAGGGAGAGTGCTGGGGCTTTAGGGAGCAGCTGGAGTCAAGCTTAGTCTGAGTAGTAGTGAGCCTGTACCTACATTTTTTTTTTTTTTGGTTCTTTCGAGACAGGGCTTCTCTGTGGCTTTGGAGACTGTCCTGGAACTAAGTCTTGTAGACCAGGTTGGTCTCAAACTCAGAGATCTACCTGTCTCTGCTTCCCGAGTGCTGGGACTAAAGGGTGAGCCACCACCGCCCGGATTCAGTTCAGTCCCTTTCAAAGGGCTGACTTCAAGCTGCTCCTGTTCCCTTCAGACCGGGAAGGTAAAACCTGCAGCCCTGCCAGCAACCCAACAGAGCATCCTGGAGGTACATATTCCCTTTCCCCAAAGGTGGGAGTCCTAGGGCCTGGGTCTATGACCCCTGTGCTCATAGGACAGGAAGCTCAAGTTCCAGGACCAGCAGGCAGACCTTGGCGTGCCGGCCATGTGGATTCTCTGCACTGCTTTTGGCTTCTGAAGCCAGAGGCACCAAGGCAGGGTTCCTGTTCTGCTGCACCCAGAGGGAGATGGCCCACAAGATGGGGGTGGGACCTCTCCCATCATGAATACAGCTGCTATGGTCACTGGAGAAGTTTCCCAAGTCTTTGCCAAATCCCACCCATGAGTCAGCAGAGGACGCTGCAGATGGATGCAGTTGCCCAGTCTGGTGGCCTGGTTTGCCACAGACAGCCTGTGCCTGAGAGGAGAAAGGAGGACAGACAGATGAGAACTTCAAGGAAACAGCCCTGGGCCCTTCAACTCACCCCATGTTTGATGTGTATGTGGTTCTTGTGACACAGGCGCACTCACCCGGAGACTATAATTATATGGCCATATTATCATCAACTAAGACTCATCTAAAAGCAGACATGGTAGCACATGCTTCTCATCTGCACTGGGAGCAGAAGCAGGACAAGCTCAAGGCCAGCCTGAGCTACACGAAACTCTGCCTCAAAACAACAACGAATCATCTAGCATAACAATTCCTTAACAAAAATAAACAAAGCATTTCGTTTTCTCATGGGCTAAGCAGAAGGCCGGCTATCCTAACCCTGTCCCAAACCCAAGCACATGAGCAGCACACCTTCACCCCACACCATGAGCACCACTCCTGGGCGCTCTTGGATCACAGAAGCACAAGTCCAGACAGACAAAGAAGGAGACTTTTTATTAGCATCGTTACAGGCAATGCATTACGTGAGCTGGTCCTCAGTGTACAACCCACCTACGCCGCAGGACAGGTCAGCAGTGTGAATCTATTATTGTACACAGTGCAGAAACGGGGCCACCCTCAACACCAACAGAAGACTGGAAATCACTTTACAAAAAGTAAATAAAAATAATGCCTTTTTTCTAGTTAGAAAAGTACCAGCTCACAGGTGGCAGAGCACAGAAAACACTGGTGGTTGTGCCTAGCCAGATGCCAGATTCCGATCCCCAGGCCAGGCAGCCCAAGCCTGTCCAGAGGTTTCCCTGTGCATGCCTCTGCAGCAGGGCTTCCCTGCTCTTCCCTTCTAGCGTCTTCAGAGTGCAGCCTAAAGATCAGCCGCCCTTCCGCGCCCAAGTGTTCAGGCCAGAGATTCCCTTCGTAAGGCTTAAATCTGAGTAACAGGATGAAGAAACCAAACACCAAGTCTTTAAAAAGTCAAATGGGGGAGCCGTGCGATTCCGAAAGCCTTCTTGTCCTCCTTAGAGCTCTACTTTGGTAACATTAACATTTAACCAGTTAGCAAAATATTTAACCCAGTTAGCAAAATTAACACCGTCATTTCAATAGTTATTCCTTTGTGCATAGTAAATGTTGCAAGATGAACTTCACATTTGATAAAGCAGATTTGAAAACAGTTTGCCAGAAAGTGTGCCTCCCTTCCACACCTATCTAAGCTCGGGGACATAAGAACAGGCCCCTGGGCATCTGTGGCGCAGCGCACCTGCCACCGGCTAGATGGTCTGGTAGCCGGCATGACTCCTCTTCCTGCCGATGAGGTAGGCGATGAGGACGATGAGGACAAGCCCTGCCAGGGCACCACCCACAGCAATGGGGATCAGCATGTTGTTACCGTCCTGCATACACTCTTCCACTGCAAGAAAGACAGCCAGTGTATTCCCTCCTGGTCCACCCTCCCCACTTACTTGTTCCTAAGAGGAAAGGATGAGGCCAGGGTAGGGACGACACGAGGAGACATGAGTGCTCTCTATGCAGCTGGGCAATCCCAGGTACGCTCCACCCAGGTTAGAATGAAAGGTGCTAACCACACTGGACCAATGGGCAGCTGTGCTGTGTCTAGGCACAGGTCCCTCAAGACAGGAAGCACCCTGGAGACCATGGTCAGAGACAGACACTATTGTCACTTTCCTAATCCTTGTCTCACATACCTATGCCTGCAGTTCCTTCCTCACAAGGGGAAAAGAAGGGAGAGCTCTCTGTGGAGGAAAAGGGTGCTGCCCTGACGTCCTGGCCCTACAAGAATATCTGAGATGCTTCTGCTGCCACCACTGCTATGGATGCTACTTACCAGACCCAAACCTGTCACTTTCAACCTTGAAAGCCTGGACCTGAACGCTGAAGACATTGAGGGAAAACTCCTTGGTGACATAGATGTGCTCCTCAGTGTTGCACCTGTAGGAGTTCCCGATGGTGGCCTGAAGAGCTCTCAGTGAATTGTTGGAGGCAGTGAGTGTGGACTCTGCAAAGTGAGACAGTCTGCTCAGCCGCAGGCCCTACTGGGTGAGGAGCACATGAGCCACAGGAAGGAAGAAGCAAATCTCACCTATGGCGTCGAGAAGAGTCATGTTCAAGCGGACTTCTTGGAGGAAAAACAGGCTAGAACTGCCATTCTGAAGGAAAAGACAGCCATCGGTCATTTACCGCACAGGTCAAGAGGACTTCTGCATTTGTAGCACAAAAGCAAAGCATGCATTTGGATAGCTCACTAAACTTTTCCTTTACACAGGGTGTCACTATGTAGCCCAGTGAAGCCTTGAACTCATGCTGCTATCTGCATCTCTTGGTATTTTGATTATATTAGTTAGGAGTTCAATGGCTGAGCCATCTCTCCAGCCCATACTTGGATTACAAAACATACATGAATATGCTCAAATCCTCCCAGACCTGTTAGAACCAGCTTACCCACTAACACGGAGATGACAGGAACCATGCTATTAAAAGTCTTTTGAATAGTACAACAAAGGTCAAATCTATTACAAGAAATTATGAATGCACGCATGTGTGTGCCATATTAAAACAGTTGTGCTGGCTGGGAGACACAGGAGGCGCTGGGCACATCCACTACCCAGCACCGCAGAAAGAAACACACTCCCTGTGCTGCTCACACTCCTCTACTTTGCCAGGAGGTGGTACAAGTGGTAGAAAGAAAGGCAGGTGACACAGGAGGCACAGCCTGGCTTCACACTGCCTCCCTGTGCAGCCACCCCCACTACCCAACTCATAACAGGTGGCCCCCAAATGTGCGCAACTGGGTAAGTCAGAGGGTGTCTGTTGGTGAGAAGTGAGGAAGGACACTTAGAAGCCTATCAACAGGGTGGGCACCAAAGAGGGCGCCATCTCTTCCTTCCCAGGGCAGCACTGGGACGCCCCTCGGTCACTGCAGCTCAAACCACAGCCCACTATGTCCCACTATGTGATGGGACAGAGCAGAGCCTCACCATCCCGAACTTCAATTCCAGGGCACTGTTCTTGCTCTCCACCGTCAGGGTCACCACATGGACATTACAGCTCCCGCTAGCTGTGTCATTTGGGCTGATGTTCAATGCTCTGGTCACAGTCTGACAAGAAAAGCAAACAAGTCATCACTCCAGACTCTGGTGACGCAGACACCACCACTAACGGCTAATAACCACACCCAAAGAGTGCTACTATCTGCAGACTGCTGTCTGGCACCAGAGGCTTGGATTGGACCCTTTGATGGCTATTCTTGGTGTGAACTTGACAGCACCTGGAATAACTAAAACCCAAGTGGCTGGGTTCACTTGTGAGGGATTTTTTTTCTTAATTAAATCATTTGTAGTGGGAAGACTCACCTAAAATTTATTTTTAATTATTTTCTCATATATTACATCCTGCCTGCAGAGGTCCCCCCCCCCATTTCCCTTCATAAAGGCGCAGACCTCCTAGGGACATCAACCAAACATCAAGCTGCAATAAGACTAGGCACCTCCCCTCACATTAAGGCTCCTACTATTCCACAAAACCAAGCTACATAACCCTAACATATGCAGAGGGTCTAGGTTAGACCCATGCAGGCTCCCAATTGTCCATTCAATCTCTGGGAGCCTCTATGAGCCCAGATTAGCTGGCTCTGTGGGTTTTCTTATGGTGTCCTTGACACCTCTGGCTCCTGCAATCCTTCCTCCTCTGGGAAAACCCAGTTTTAGTCTGTATCGTTTGAGGTGGGACCTCTAATCTGGTCACACCTTCTGCAGGCAGCAGAAGGACATGGAAGGAGAAAGCTCCTGCTCTGCCTGCTTTGCTCTTGCTAGCAAGTCCATCCTCTCATGGGCATAGAGCCTACTTTGGGATTCTAATGACTCCAGTAGACCGGCTGAGACATCAAGCCTGGCGCACTGAACAACTCCTGGATTCTTGGGCCTTGCATTAGTAGATGGTAACTGTTGGGTTAGCAGGATCAAGCCTGTAAGCCATTCTAATAAATCGTAACACGCACACATGCACGCACAGTGGTGGTGTGAATGAAAATGGCCCCATAGGCCCATAAGAAGTGTAAGTATTAGGCCTGTGGCCTTGTTGGAGGAGGTGTGTCACTAGGGGGCGGGTTTTTGACATTTCAGAAGCTCAAGCCGGGCCTGGTAGCTGTCTCTTCTGCCTGCAGATCCAGACGTAGAGTTCTCAGCCACTTCTCCAGCACCATGTCTGCCTGCCTGCTGCCATGCTTCCTGCCATGGAGATTATGGACTAAACCTCAGAACTGTAAGTCATCCCCAATTAAATGTTCCTTAAGAGTGGCTGTCGTTAGGGTGTCTCTTCACAACAATAGAAACCCTGAGACATTCATTCATCATCCATCCAAATGTAAATAATAGACTAACTATGTACATACATATACACAGGGATTTATTAGACTGGCTTACACTGTAAGTTCTATTCCTCTACAGAACACTGACTAAAACAGACCCTGATGCTTTTTCTAGCTTTCTTCAGCCTCAATGCGTCTGCAGGTCCTCCTGCCTCAGGCTTCCTTTCTGAACAGCTAAGACTACAGGTGCATGCAGCCTTGACCTGGTTCAACCATACCAAGGTAAAATTCATACCAAGACCTTCTCCCATCCCCACAGACACTGCTCCTCCTATCACAAGTGTACCAACAACAGAGATTCCAGTGGTAAAAGCTGAGGCAAGTGTGATGCTCTGCTCTGGTGAGGTGCCTAATTAGCATCCGGGACTTCCACAGCCCGTCAGACAAGCGCAGCCCGACTCAGCAGCGGACAGAAGCACACATGGGGCTTAGATCAGCGCAGCCTCTTGTGCACCACAGAAGGCATACGAAGCGCATCTTTTCATGAATAGAAACAACCCGCCCCCTCCCTACCGTGTTGTCCTTCTTCAAGTAGGTGATATTCAGCTGCAGGGCCATAGAGGCAAGCAGGCAGGTTCCGTTTTCACCAGTCACGTTGTACTTAATCACAGTGGGGTTTGTGGGCACAAGGGGTGGCGAGGGGCTAGGTGGTGGCACAGTGGTCGGGGAAGGTCCGTCCTGCGTGCAGCGTGTCTCTGCAGGGACAGTAAAGAAGTTCAAGGTCCAGCTTGCTAGAGTGCATGTCAGAACTAGAAACACCCATGTCTGAACTCCCCTCCTTTAACTGCCCAGTACATGGACAGCAGGTTCTGGGTAGCAGAGGGAGGCCCCAGAGCACCCCCCCATTCCCCATCTTAGCCTGCTTTCTCAGTGGACACACAAAACCTATCCTATGAGGCCAAGAGAAAGCCTCACCCTACCACAAGGGAGTGATGTCATATCACATACACAAAGATAGGATGAATTGACGTGTTCACATCGAGTTGTCACAAGGAAGACACTGTGCTAAAAACAAGATACAGGTTCTTGACAGTCAGGCCCTAGCCAGGTCTGTCATTTCTTAGAACACATGAGCTAACTACAGCCTAGTACTATCAGCAAGGGTGTGCAAGAGCTTGGAGGAGAGGAGGGGAGGTCCCTGGTCTACAGAGCAAGTTCAGAATAGCCAGGGCTACACAGTCTTGAAAAACAAAACCAAAGTGTTTTGCCTGTACGTATATGGGTGCTGGTGCTCAGAGAGGCCAGAAGAAGGGGCTGGATCCCCTAGAACTGGGGTTACAGACAGCTGGCAACCACCATTTGCGTGTTGGTGGTTCAAACCTAAGTCTTCTGGAAGAGCTGCCAATGTTCTGTAACCGCTGAGCCATCTCCCAGCCCCATTTTATTTTCTTTTAAGTAAGATCTGTGAAGTGCCCAAGTCTATTTTGACCTGACCCTTTACAGTTAACAGAAAGAATGATGCATGAGGCATTCTTTTTTGTCAAGGCCACCCCATGTTACTTACAAACAATACATGTACACACATTCACAGATGTAACCGAACTGTGTTAAGTAAAAATTATTAGGAAACTATGAAAGGCAGACCAGGAGCATAAAAATGTAGGACTCAAATCAAGTAGAGAGGCACGTGCAGGCTTAATGACTGGAGAGCTCTGGAGCCCACACAGGACAGAATGACTCCCAAGGGCTCTGACCCCCCACTACATGCACATATGGCACTCATACACACAAAAGAATTATTTCTTAAAAAGAGAAACTAAACCCACATGTGAAGCACACAACCATGCAGGATACCCCAGACAGAACATCGGCCTCCACCTGGACGGACAACCTGGAGCTTTGGCAACTGCGAACGCTCACTGCTCCTGATTTTTGTCACTGGGCCTAATTCACCACAAGCTGCTTGTGGAGGCACTTGAGAGGACAACACCTCTTCGAAAGGCCACGACCTGCCTCTCCTCACCTCCCCAAGTAGACAGCTCCAGCTGGTTTGAAAACAGACTGTGTGGGAGCCAGTCCAAGGCTATGGTTGACTCTGGCCTCAGTCACTAACCGTGTGATGGTAACAAGACTATATACACATCTATGGGAAGGGGCACTGCTGTAACACATGGTTTGCTGGAAGGCAAGCGGCATCGAGCCTAGTAAAGAATTTGGCCCAAGTCAGCATCTTCGGAACCACCCCATTTCTCCTAATTATATCTGGCTTTTGTGTGTGTGTATGGGGGGTATCTTTTACCCTTTGACCTGTCATTAACACTTTTGTCACTAGATCAGGAAACAGAAAAGCATTTGTTTCTCTTCTAGAAGACCCAGGTTTATTTCCCAGCACCCACTTGGTGGCTCACGAGTGCCTATAACTACAGTTCCAGATGATCTAATGCCCTCTTTGGCCACCTTGGACACCAAACATGTACATGTAGGCAAAACATACACAAAAACTTTTTTTTGGTGTTTCAAGACAGGGTTTCTCTGTATTGTTTTGGAAGCTGTCCTGGAACTCGCTATGTAGGCCAGGCTGGCCTCGAACTCACAGAGATCCGCCTGCCTCCGCCTCCCGAGTGCTGGGATTAAAGGCATGCACCACCAATGCCCGGCCACAAAAAGTTTTTTAAAAGGGGGAAAAAAGCAAAAAAGCATAACAAAAACCCAGTTCTATTTGTAACACAACAGTACATATTTCAGACTAGGACTCTATCACAACAACTAGGCTATGCTTAAGTCAGTGCAAGAGCACCATGTAACTAATGTTAGGCTGCCAAGCACGGTAGCGCACGCCTTTAATCCCAGAACTCAGAAGGCAGAGGGCAGTCTGTCTATATACTGAGTTCCAGGAAAATCAGGGTTACATAAAAGAGATTGACTGTCTCAACAAAACAAAAAAGGGTCATAGTAAAACTACGCTTCTAGACACCAACCTTCATGGTCAGCTCCATATGTAATGAAATACTTTCTTTTCTAACTTTAGGTGGCAGGATAGGGCCTGCACCAGTGTGCCACCTGCTGAGAAAATGCATGCTACCCTCCTTGACCTCTAACTGAAAGCACTGAGAGAATCCCGAGTTAGTTCTCTCCAGCAGTCACATCACAGTCTTCCATTAGGACTACGGAGCAAGCCCCAGAAGGAAAGTCAATAGGGCAGGTCTTGGTTTTTAAAAGGCTGGCAGGCCAGGTAATCTTACACAAATCACATGCCCTCGCTTTTCCAATGGACAATTTAAATTTCAGAGCTGACTGATTAGATTTGGGGCAAAGTGGCTTCAGGGCCCACCACCAGTTTGGTCAACAGGTACAGGCCAGGGGGATCACACCTCCTCAGACAGGTAAAGCCAACCCTTGAGCTTGCCTAAACTGGCTTGAGGAAACTAGCTTGCAGGTAAGAGTGTTTTGGGAGTCTGAACTCCTAACCATATCCACAAGATCACTCTTCCACATTTCATGAATGATTGTTTTAACCAGGACACGCCCCTCACCTTCAAAGGCTACTGTCTCATAGGAGCAGAGCAGAAGAGCTGCCCGACAGTGGTGCAGTCTCGATGCACTGTGAGTGTGTCACCTGCCCCACCCCAGCCCGGCCCGGCCCGGCATCTTACCATCCTTGCTGAAGTTGCTATTGGGCAGGTAGGCCTGGATAGTGGCATCACTGAGCGTGATGGTCACATTGCCCATGTGAACCTGGGTAGCACTTAAACACCGGTATGTTTTGTTGATGTCTGCCTTGATGTCAGTTGTGGAGTCCACAGAGTGGATCCCTATATCCAAATTCACAAACAAAAACAAAACACAAACACAATTTTTAACTGTGTGTAGTACTTAAAGTGACCTATATAACATCATCTTGTATTCTTCCTTTTCTTTTGAAGTCTAAGAACAGTTTTATTAGTTTAAAAGAAAGACTCAGGCAGGCAAGCTGTAGATCTCGGTGGCTAACTGAGGGAGGAAGGTGGAGAAGCAGAAGAGGGAGACCCAGGCCACCTGTGGTAAGCCAGCATGCAGTCAGCCACACAGTGGGGAGCGAAAACACCTAAGGTACAGAGAAAACATACTTAGGCTCTGGCCAGCGTCTAAAGGAAAGGGACAGAAAAGGAAAAGGAAGTCAAGACTAAGAGAGGCAGGCAGATCTAATGGACCCTCATGTGGCTCCTAGAAAGGCCAGTTCTCTAACTTCCCTTCATTTTGCATTTTGTCACAGAAGTCTTACCCTTGTCGCTGGCATTCTGGAAATGTTGAGTGTCTGACAAGTTATAAGCAAAATACATGTGCTGGACACGGTAACGTGTTGCATTTCTTGTGAAGTTCAGTGTCAATAAATATCCGCTTCCAAAACCAATTGTGAGGATGGGTTCAGGAACATTTTCTCTACCACAAGAACTGTTACTATTCAGTACTTTTGCAGAGGACGGCAGTTCAAAGGTTGAGTTCTAGAACAAATACAATTCCAACATTACTCCTTGAGAATGTATGCTGCTAAGGAGACCTCTGTAAAAATGTGCCTTTTAATCAATGTTAATGCAGTCATCTGCAAACACTTAACTTGGTACAGTATCTGTACACATTGCTGGGATACAGTAATTCAATGCATGCAAACAGTGTGTGTGACTTAAACCAGGGTGGCCAGCATTCCCACCCGATGTGCCAGTTTTAATTTTTTTTTTTTTTTTTTTGAGGCAGGGTTTCTCCGAGGCTTTTGGAGGCTGTCCTGGAACTAGCTCTTGTAGACCAGGCTGGCCTGGAACTCACAGAGATCCACCTGCCTCTGCCTCCCGAGTGCTGGGATTAAAGGCGTGCGCCATCAATGCCCGGCTCAGTTCTAAGTATTTTAAAACACTAACAGACTAGTAGGCATGAGCACAGTGTCCTATACTCACTACTAACAAAGAGAATGAAGCGAGACAGGATTGTCTTATTAGTCATAGTTAAATCTGCTTCTCATTCATTGTGTGCACAGTTCAATTCTAATACTCAGGAGGCAGAGGCAGGAGGATCATTGAGTTTGAGGCTGGACAGTGTTATGTAATAAGACACAACACAGACATAAAAATCTTAAAATGTACTATTAAATTAGTTTCAATTTATAACAGAACCAAAGCCAAAGTTACCTTGAAAGTAAAGAAGCTAACTTGATGCTATTACTTTTATTACTTTTTTTTTTTTTAAACAAAATTGTCTCTTCAAAGAATGTCTTCTGGCTGGGCAGAGATGGTGCACGCCTTTAGTCCCAGCACTTGGGAAGCAGAGGCAGGCGGATCTTTTTGAGTTTGAGGCCAGCCTGGTCTACAGAGTGAGTGCCAGGACAGGTTCCAAAGCTACAGAAAAACCCTATTTCAAAAAACAAAACCAAAGGCTGTTTCCTGGGATGAGAGATGAAGCCTGGCTGGGAGAGCACTGTCTAGCATGCATGCTGCCGTAGCCTTGCTCTCCAGCACGGCATAGTCCACGTCAGATGGGGCAAGCCTGAAAACCCAGCACTCGGGAGTGGGAAGCTGGAGACAGGGATGTCAGGTCACAACGTGGTATGTGAGACCCTATGACTCATAAACCAACCAACCCACCCAGACACCCTCACCAACCCCAGGCCCCCAAGCCACATTAAGAGAAGTAAAAAGCTGAGGCAGGTTAAATGGCTCAGTGGGTAAAAACACTTGCCATCAGGCCCAATAACCTAGGTTCAATATCAGGGCCCACATGGTAGAAAGACCAATCCTCCCAAGTTGTTCTCTGGCTTCTATCCATGCACTGTGGTAGAAAGCTTACAAAGTGTGCATGTACACAGACACACAGACACACTCATGTGCACACACATAAATTTAAAAAAGTAAACTACAGGGGCTGGAGTGATCACTCAGTGGTTAAGAGCACTGGTTGCTCTTTCAGAGGACCTAGATTAAATTCCCAGCACCCACATGGTGGCTTAACTAATCTGAACTCCAGTTCCAGGGGATCTGATGCCCTCTTCTGGCCTTAATGGGTACTACATATATGCACTGCACAGACATGCAGGCAAGCACTCATTTACAACAGGCTCAGACAAGCCTTTGCATATTTACACAGAACTAGTACAGACAAGTCAGGGACCCAGCAACTTTAAGGAATGGCCATCCTGCCGGCCCAGTTCCTACTGGCTCCAGGGCAGAACTGAGTGTTGCTGTATGGTGTTGTGGGAGAGACAACAGTTCCAACGAAGAACTGAAGACAAAATGTGATTCAGGTTGAATTTATTGAGACAGGGTTCATATAGCCCAGGCTAGACCTTAACTCCTGGTCCTTTACAGGTAAGGTGTATCTCATGACCTAGGGATGCATTTAAAAGGGTAATAACATACAATGAATGTGTGAAATACCCACTAACAGGTAATTAAGGAAATTTAAAATACAGGCTACTCATCTGCTAGCAACCTAACAACTACATACTTTGTATTCACTGTATAAACACAAACCTGCTTTAACATAACCGCTAAGAACAACTTTTTGTCTGTTTATTCCTTGAGACAGGGTCTCACTGTGTGATTCTGACTCTCAGCTTTGTAGATCAGGCTGGCCTTGAATTAAAAGATTTGCCTGGCCTGGCAGCGGTGGTGCACAACTCTAATCCCAGCACTCAGGAGGCAGAGGCAGGAGGATCTCTGTGAATTTGAGGCCAGCCTGGTCTACAGATTGAGTTCCAAGACAGCCAGGGATATACACAGAGAAACCCTGCCTTGAAAAACAAAACATAAATCAAGACACCCCCCCCCCAAAAAAATCTGCCTGCCTCTGCCTCCTTCTGAGTGCTCAGATTAAAGGTGTGTGCCACCAGGTTCAGTCCACTAAGAACATGCTTCTTAAAGGAACAGTTTATAGCATTGCTCACGCCACCAATGAGAATACATCTCTCAGAATATAGTGATTATCTGAAGCAAATGAAGACCAAAAAGACGTAGAGCTGTATACTGACCACAAAAATACAAGAAAGCCAACCAAGTAGCACCAGGGAAGCATCTGGCAAGCTCGCTTGACTACCATGAGGTCCTATGAGGTGGCTGTAAAACAACCGTGAAGAAATCCAAAAACTAACTGATGCCTTAACAGTGGGAGCAGAGTACAGGTGGCCTGTCTGCTGTGGCTGCAGATGCCAGCAGAGGCAGAGGGGCCTAAGGTCTAGAAGTTATATGCCCAAGGGAGAGGGGTGGACTAGGGCAGGGTAGTTTTTCAGAGTCCCACAAAGGCTGACGTCTCCTACCTGAGAACCATGTCCAGTCTCGTAGATGGTGAAGAAGGAGGCAGAGAAGTTGGCCATTATACAAGCTGTGCCATTGCTGTCTTTCACCACAAACAGTGCTGAGGCACCATGTGCAAGGCCTGCTGCTTCCAGTAAAAAGAAACAATCATACACCTCCTTCAAAGTACAAGTGCTATTTCTGTTTTTGGTAACTTTTATTAAGATTTACGGTATTCGGTAAACTCTGAACCAGACAAGTGGATTATAGGCTGCTGTCCTGCTCCTAATCCCCAACCCTGGATCCCATAGAAAACTGCCATCTTCCAGGCTGTCCCATGAGCTTGCCAAGCCTGCCTACAGCCCCCGAGTGCGGTTACCAGGGTACTTACCCTAGGCATATGTCCCCCAGATAAGATGTGTGGGGCCTGAAAAGTACATTTCACGACAGACAAGCATCGGCCTACTGCAGAAGCCCAGGGGAGTCTGCAACTAGCAGTTACAGTTTGGCTAGTTTTTACCTCTCAGACCAGGGGTGTGGCAAAGAAAGTCATGAGCTCAGACACTGCCTGGATTTCACCAGCACATGGCCGAGGGACTCTGGGAACAGCCTCATCTATACAAGTGAGGGCTGCCCTGTTTGTGGAGGTTTAAGGACACATGGAGGCTCTAAAGATTTTCAAGTGAATAATGGTCTTTCCAGGACAGTGGCTCTCTGACTTTTGAAATAAAGCTAATAAACTTCACACCTGTAATCTTAGCACTGGGGAGGCTGAGGCGTGAGGATCACCAGTCTGCCACCCGCAGTGTAGAGACCCACCTACAAACAACCCCACTATGCCAATCAAGATGCCCAGCAGCAAGTTAGAAAAGCAGTACTTTCAGCTGGGCATGGCGGTGCACACCTTTATTCCCAGTGCTCAGGAGGCAGGCACACCTCTGTGAATTTGAAATCAGCATGGTCTACATATAGCAAGTTCTAGGCCAGGTAAGACCACATTAAAAAAAAAAAAAAAAAGGAAGAAAAAAGCAGAAGCAGCAGAGAGAGAGAGGAAGGGACGATAACTGACAACTAGTGAGTGTCACTACAGTTTACAGATGGCAAAGCCAGGCACTTCTGCTCATTCTAAAGCCAAGCTACCACACAGGCTTATCAGTCATCACTGTTCAGCAACAGGTGGCACGCTGTCACCTCTCTGCTGCTACACGTTTGTATACACTCTTCCAAGGACACTGACACATCTGGGGCCTGTAAGGCAGGAACACAAGGTCCAGGCTAGGACATTCTACATAATAAGCTCAAAGCCCAAGAGGCAAACACAGCAAGACTCCATCTTAAAACAAACAAATGAACAACAAAACAGAAAATCTTACTTCCTCAGAAAACGAATGGACTTTAATGAACTCAATTTATTCCACTGTTGCAACTTTGAAAAAAAAATAAAAAATTTAGAGTAATTGCTCTCCAAACCCAAAAGCCTAACTAGAAGAAGCTCCAAGGTCAAGCACAAATACATAAGCTCTCCCAAGCACATACATAAAAACAGAACATGGCTGTACTAGTTAGGGTTACCACTGCCGTGATAAAAACACCATGACCAAAAGCAGCTTGGCGAAGGGTTTATTTGGCTCCCACTTCATATCACTGTTGATTACTGAAAGGAGTCAGGAGCTGATGCAGAGGCCATGTAAGAGTGCTACTTACTGGCTTGTCCCCCACCCCTGCTTGCTCAGATTGCCTTCTTATGGAACACAGGACCACCAGCCCATGGGTGGCACCACCCACACTGTCCCCTCGCCCATCAATCACTAATTTAAAAAATGTCCTATAGGCTTGCCTATATCCCCATCTTACGGAGGCATTTTCTAAATTGAGGCTCCTCTACCTCAGATAACTCTCGCTTGTGTCAAGTTGACATAAATTAGCCAGCAAAATAACCAAGTGTGGTGTGGTGGCATACGTGTGTAATCCCAGAGCTAGACAGGCAAAGACAGAAGGATCACAAGTGTTTGGACAGCCTGGTTTACCTACCAACTTCTAGGCCAGCTCATGGCTACATACACCAAGTCCCTGATTCAGAAAAACAACTGAAACTAGGGGTCAATCGTCAAGAGTACTTGTTCTTCCACAAGACCCAAGTTCAAGCCCTCACCCACACCAGATAGTTTATACCTATCTGTAACTCCAGTTCCATGGGGTTCCACACCCTCTTCTGATCTCTGTGAACACTCCTCACGTATACACAAAATAAAATATCTTAAAACCCAAACCCAAAACCCTGTAGCCTGCCTGACCCACAGCAAAAAAGATCACTACTGCAAGCCTAAGGCTTCCTTGTCCTGAGATGTCCTTAGGAGAAGTATCCAGGTCACCCTCGCCAACACAACAGATGCCCCATGGGAGCACAGTCCAGCTTTAACCAGGCTGTCTTTTCATGAGTTTTCTCGTCACCCTAGTAATTTGTCAACCATACTTTTCCCAAATTAGTAAACATGCATATTCAAAAGAAAACAAAGTACTATTACTATAATTTAAAGGAAACTTTGTGATTTCTGAGAACATGCCTTTCCTCAGTCACTGGCTGTTCCCATGCTCTGGTGTCTTTCTCTCTCTTAACTGTCTTCAGCTCTACCACCTAAATAAATACATAAGGGGGCACCCGCTGGAGAGACAGCTCGGTAGTTAGGAGCACTGGCTGCTCTTTCAGTGACCCAGATTCAATTCCCAGCAACAATATGGCTGCTCACAAGATTTCAGACCCACAAGATCCGGTACCACACCCTCTTGTGGCCTCTGTGGGCACTGCATACACAGTGTGCAGACATACATGCAGGCAAAACACTCATGCATAAAATAAAAAGACGAAGCTAAACTGTATTTATCTATTATTATTTATTTTGTTTTGAGTCAGGGTTTCTCAGTGTATGTAGCCTTGGCTGTCCTGGAACTTGCTCTGTAGATCAGGCTAACCTCAAACTCAAGAGATCTGCCTGCCTCAGCCTCCCAGAGTGTTGGGATTAAAGGTGTGCGCCACCACTAAAATAGGGGCTAGGGAAGGTTAGTAACTTGGGTTTCTCAGCACCCACATGGTGGCTCACAACCATTCAAACCATCTATTCCTCAAGTTCAGGGGATCCAATGCCTTCCTCTGACGCCACAAGCACTGCACACACAAGCACGCAGAACACTCTTACACACAAAATACTAAAAAAAAGTGTTTAAAGGTGTGAAAATTGAAATCCTTCAACAAAAAAGGGTTTTCCCCAGTCAGTTCCGATGCCTATGGCAGGTCTGGGGCTGGGCCAGGAATCCCACTCTCTAATGGCAACCTGCTCATTTCTCATTTCTCCATGGGTCAAAGGGCAATGCTGGCTAGTTCTTTCAAAACACGGCATTACAGGAAATTCCCTTCCCTGCAACCAGTAAGGCAGTGGGAAGCACACACGCTCAAGCTAGAAGCTCTTCAGTTACTAGTACGTGACCTTGGCCAGCCACCTAACCACCCTGATTACACAACAGACAGGAAGAGCCCAGAGCCTCCAGACTTCTGACAGAACCCTCGGCAGACAGTTCACCCTTTAGTCAAAAAGCTTGCTACTGAGTCACTTTTGTTGTGGGGCTCTCTCAATCCTTTGCCCAGGATGTCCCGGAACTCTTTGACTCAAGTGTGCTGCCATCATGAAGACCTGCTTAGCAGCTACTTGTGACACATTTACTGTTTGTGACAGGCACTTCCCAGGGCATGGCTCCATCAGGTTACTATGACAACCCTGCTATGATCCCCTCTTGCTGAGGTGGAGAGGCCCAGAGATACTAAGTTGCTTCAAGGTCACAGCAAGTGAGTGGTCCAGTTTTTGTTTGCTCCAGTGTGTGGCCTGCTGACAATGTTGCTTCAGCAGAACCTAGTGAGGGAGTACTTTTGAAGCTGACAGAGTGAGACCCTATCACCAACCAACCACACTCTTCTTATCTTGACTTGATTCCTTTACATCTCTCTTATCTAGTGACACATAGATCACCTTTGAACACTTTAAAAGACCAAAGTTTCACCGCACACACTTAACTACTACCTCTAGAGGGAGGGTTCCCTCCCTGCTGGCGAGCTTCCACAGGCTTGAGCATGCTGCAGCTGCTGTGGACAAGGGGACAAGTGTCTGCACTTGTAGAGGGCTGCTTTTGCTTAGATCCAGTTCAGGACCACGGCTACAAAGCTGACATTTCTTCACGATAGCACTGTGCATTAGCGTGTGTCAGGACAGGTACTTCAGTCTACATATGTATAGTTAAAAGGCCAGGTCAAGATAACAATATCTGAGTTGGGTTTAACAGAGTATCAGTTAAAAAATTATGAACCACTGCCGGGGCGGTGGTAGCGGACACCTTTAATCCCAGCACTGGGGAGGCAGAGGCAGGCGGATCTCTGTGAGTTCGAGGCCAGGCTGGACCAACAGCCTCCAAAACAATACAGAGAAACCCTGTCTCAAAAAAAAAAATTATGAACCACAGAATGTTTGATCACCAACCAAGTGAAAAATTCAAGATCCCACAGTCTAGAATAACAATTAATTAGAAGCCTTCTCATACCTCTGGACTGACAGCTCTCATCCAGAAAGGGGAAGGTCATGGGGCCACCACCACCAACTGAACAGTAGTTCCATTAGGCAACCATACACACTAGTTTCAGTTCACACTAGTCTGCTTTCTATTAAGCAATTAAACACAACGGCAGCTTGGAGAAGTTAGCAATTAATGCAGGAACAATTAATAATCCCAAAATTAGAATTTTCCTAAAGATAAAACTATTTTTGAAGTTTTGAAATTGAAATAAATATTTAAGTAAAATCAAAGGTAAAGTAATTTTGTGAAAGCTGGGACATAATTCAACTTATCGAATACTACTTGATTAGTGTCACAGATTTTTCTCTCCCCTTGGATTCTGAGAGTGTCTCAACCTATAGCCTAGGTTGGCCTCAAATTCGCAGAAATTTTGCCACATTAGCATGCCAAGTGCTAGGATTACAGGCATAAACCACAATAAACAAGAAGGACTTCACCACCTAACCCAGGCTGACCTTCAATTTGAAATTCCCCTGCCTCAGACTCCACCACTGGTGCTTTTATTCATCTGTTATTTATTTATTTATTTATCGGCAGGGTCTCTAGTCCTGGCTATCCTGGAACCCATTACGAGAACTCGACTGGCCTGTTAAAGAGACCATTCTGCTTCCTTAGTTGGATTAAAGGCATAAACCACTATCCCAGACAGAGGTTGGTTTTAAAACATTAACTACGGCCTCACATGGTGTCCCACGACTTTAATCCCAGCACTTGGGAGACAGAGGCAGGCGGATACCTGTGAATTTCAGGCTAGTATGTTCTACATGGTTGAGATTCTGCTTTTTTTTTAATTAATAAAGAAAAGAAAGTATTAACTCCGGGTCCATAAGCAATGTTATTGTAAGTTAGTTATTGTATTGCTGAACTACATCCCCAAGCCCTGTGAACACTTCTAATAAAGCCATTGCGACACGACAGAACTTGTTTCAGCAATTCCTACTCTACTTACAACTACTGAACCGTGAAAGGTCACAGGTCCCTTAGCAAGGTTTGAGACCGCCGGGTAAGCGCACTTCTCTTCTCCCATTGACTTAAAGAGTTCATGCCACACAAGCAGCAAAATAAGAAGGGAAACCAGATTCCATAAAGCCACAGTTACACAATTTTGGGGTGCGATGTGTCTTAAGAGGTGCTCGGGAGTACCTGTCCCTCTGTGGCCCGGGTGGACTCTCGCCAGCCTCGTCTCTCGGGTCCTGCAGATGCTGGCACTGCAGCCATACCCTGCGCGTTACTGGGGTACAGCGGTGAGAAGGGCACCTCGGGCAGGGGTCAGAGGCAGCACCCACTCCGCTCACAAGGAAGCCCGGGTGCCAGCAGCTCTGCCTCCCCCGGGAGCTGCATCCCGGCCCCCGCCGGAGCGCCCGGGGAAGTGGGGAGTCTCAGGCTGGGCTCCCACCCCGCACCTGCGTCCTTAGGGCCCGCAAGGGCTCTGAGCGGCAAGCGCCACTGCGGAGCCGGCCGGCCGGCTCGAGGCCTACTCGGCGCCCCGTTCCCACCCGGCCTGGCGCCCCCTTCCCGTCCGTCCCGAGACGCCGACCCCGCCCGGTCCACCCGGGCTCACCCAGCAGCAACAGGAGCAGCGACCGCCGGGCGCCGGGGGCCGCCATGGCGCGACGCAGCCGAGGCCGGGGTGCGGCGGTTGCGAGGCCGGCGGGAGGGCGCGTCCACCGACTCGAGAGGCCCGGCAGCTGCGGCGCCGGCACGGAGGGGACCCTGCGGCCGGCAGCGCCTGTCACGTGAGCAGCGCCGCGCCCGCCGGTCACGTGAGCCGAGCGAGGGTCTCGCGAGAGCGGCGCCCGGGCGGCCGCTTCCTCCCCGCCGCTCCCCTTCGGGCCTCGGCTCCGCACGCGACTCCGGTCACGTGCCGGTCGTCGCCGTCACGTGGCCCGGTGACGCGCCGCCGCCGGGGCCTCTCCCGGTGTGTCCTGAAATGGAAAGTAGGTGGTGGTGGCTTTGGGAAAGGGAAGAAGAAACGCTGCCGGAGAAAGTGAGCGTGGAAACGGGAAGACCGAGGCCAGTGGCTCAGGCTGCCTGCCACCGCGCGGGCCCCGGCCAGCCTCAGGCCCGCAGCCCAGCCGTAGGCTGACATCCGTGTCCAGGCTCATAGCAGTGTTTGAATCCAGGACCGTGTGCATATCCATTTGCAGGGCCCAGGCTGGCCTCCACGCAGGCTCCCGGGCTACCTCTAGGTCCAGACGTGTCTAGGGCCTGCCACAGCTGTGTCTTTTCCCTGCTCCAGTCACAGGACAGTCCTTAGGGGCACGTAGATGGTGGTAGGAAAGACACCCTTTTAAAGGCAAGATTTCATTATATATCCCTAGCTGGCCTCAAAAAGATTCGCCTACCTCTGCCTCCTGAGTGCTGGGATTGAGTGCGGGGAGGGGGGCCGGGGGAGCGCGGGCGCGGTGTTTTTGAGCGCTCCTGCTTTGGGGGACAGCGTCTTGTTAGATGGTCATCCCACTTGAGGTGATTGAGGATTTCCATGAAGAACTCAATGCGAAAACATCTTCCCCTTTTGTGGATGTAACACTCGAAACTCCACGGTTGTTTGTTTTTTCGTTGTTTTAGGCTATGATGTCGCCCTAAAGCCCGCTTGACCTGGAACACACTGTATGGACCAGGCTGGCCTCACTTTGGGCAATTGGCCTGTGGAGATTACTGATGTGTGCCATCACTGCCAGCAAAATCCAAGTTTTTATGTTATTGTTTTTTTATGGGGGGCAGAGGCTCTCTCCGTAGCTGTCCTGGAACTCATTATATACACCTGGCTGGCCTCAAACTCATGGTAGAAAACTAGAAGGAAGGCATCGCAGTGTGTTCTTTGCTTCCTGTTATGGATCAAGATGTGAGCTCTCAGCTGCTGCTCTAGTGTCACGCCTGCCTGCCGCCATCCTTCCCACCATAATGGTGGTGAATTCCTAATTCTCTGGCCCCAAATGAACCCTTCTCTAAAGTGCCGTGATCATAGTGTTTTACCACAGTAATGTACAAGTAATGGAAGTCTTGGGATGACCAGCTTGGGCCGCCATGCCTCCTAGTTTTCTACCATGTTCCACCCACCCCACCCCCCTTTTTTTTTTTTTTAACTAACAGTCATGTAGCAGTGTTGCCCAGTAAAAGAAAACGGTGTCTGCCTTTGGATTGCTCCACAAAGTAGAGAATTAACTTTAGATACAATTGAAGGACTTCTAAGATGTTCATTTTCGCCTAAACATGCTGATGTTGAAAACCCACCGAATAATTTTTTTTTTTAATGGAAACAATCCCCCAACTGAGTTGTGTTTTCCAGCCTCTGAGGTCTTTTTTTGTCAGTATCGGTGATGTACAGAGCCCTCAGACATTCCCAGCATTTCTTGCAGCTAGGGTGTAGATATTGGTCGGAGTCTAGCTTGAGGTAGAATGTGGTTAGATGAATGTAGAGACAGTGTCCTGAACACTTGGTGTCAGCAGGAGCTGTCCTGCCTGGCCCTCAGTGGTAGAATCTGTATGCTCATTATGTTTAAAGCCCGTGTGGACGGTTTACTGTGTACAGGCAGAGTCCTTACCTAACTCAACCCTGACTTCTGTGAACCCAGGAGCAGGGCATGGAAACTAAATGAGAGGTTAGCAAATACGGTTCCCCAGAGTGAAGAGTGCTAAAGCAGCCCAGTGAATGTACATCGATTTCCTTTTGATGTTTTCTTATTTTATATGCATGAGTGTCTTGCATTTCCAGGCAGGTTCAGAGGCATCAGAACCCCCTAGAGTTACAGGAGATCGTGTTTTACTTAGGGTTCTTATTACTCTGAAGAGACACCATGACCATGGCAACTCTGATAAAGGAGAACATTTAACTGTGGTGGCTCTCTTACAGTTCAGAGGTTTAGTCCATTAGCATCACAGCAGGAAGCATGGCAGCATGCAGGCAGACACGGTGCTGGAGAAGGAGCTGAGAGTTCTACATCTTGGTCCTGAGGGAACAGGAAGTGATCTGAGACACTAGGTAGTATGTCATCTTGAGCCCGTATGAGACTTCAAGGCCTGAACGCACACTGAGACACTTCCTCTAACAAGGCCACTCCTCCTAACAGGGCCACTCCCTTTGGGGGCCGTTTTCTTTCAAATCACCACAGTGAGCCGTACAATGTGGTACTAGGAACCAAACCCAAATCCTCTACGAAAAGCAGTAATCCCTCTGTGTCATGTCGCCAGACCCTTGTCGTGTGTGCTAACGTGTTTCTAAGTCTCTTTCTGGGAGCTGTTCAGGAGGTTGCTCAAGTGTCAAATGATGTTATTTAGCCTCTGGAAATAGGCAGATCTTCTGCTTGCCGATCTCCCTTGAGGTATTTATACCGCAGTGGTATAAAGTTACAAGAAAGGAACTTCTCAAAAGGAAGATCTGAAACTCCCCTTCTTAGAAAGCAGATTTAAAAAACCTTGAAGGCCATTTGCAGTCTCATATCCTGTGGCCATTGTATATCTCCCTGGACACATTGTCCCTGAGCGTGGGTCGGAGGTGGCACTTATGAGGGTCTGTTCTGCTGGGTGTGGTGGCACATGCCTTTTAATCCCAGCACTCAGGAGGCAGAGATAGGAGGATCTCTGTGAGTTTGAGGCCAGCCTGATCTACATAGTGAGTTCCAGGACAGCCAGAGATAGCCCTGTTTCAAGAACAAACAAATAGAACCAACAAATAAACACTAGGGTCTGTGTATGAAGTCCATTCCTCATGATGGGAAACACAGAATGGGAACTGAAATTCTCCAGAAGCCACTTCTCCATTTGAGTTCGGGATTTTAATGGGGAGGAGCTGGGAGGGGTCAGAAGTGTGCTGTGAAGAGTGGAGTTCATTTTCTAGGCACTGAGGGATGGAGCTGCCAGGCTGACGCTTGGTTCACATCAGGTTTCTGAAGGAAGCAAGGTGGGAAGAGGCAAGAGACTTGAGTCAGGATCTTGCAACCTCTGGATTTGTTGACGGATGAATGGTGTCAGCCTGGTTCATGTGTCCCAGCTCTGTACAGAAAGGGAAGCAGCCCTGCAGTCAACTGTGACTCCCACTAACAGCACTTCGTTCAAAGAGCAGGGCCTTCCTGACTGAGGCTGTTGGAGTGAACTCAGGGAAATGCCCCCTTAATTTTTCTTTTTATTTATGAATCCACTGAATATGGGTGGAGATGTGTTTCAGTGTATGACACTCACTTGCCTGGAAACCTTGGACTCCTTAAACCTGCGGAGATGACCTGGGTAAGAGTTCTTGTGCAAGCATGAAGACCACATTTCTGTATGAAGACATAAGAAAAGCTTGGTGTAGTGGTACAAGCACCTCTAACCCCAGCGGGCAGAGACAGGAGGATTGATTCTTGGGGTTGCTGGTGACCAAGCTAGGTTCAATGAGAGGTCTCAAGGGATTAAGGTAGAAAGCAGTGACCAGGGCACCTGATGCCCCCTTCTGGCCTTATTCCTGGGAGTAGAAAGGGTCCCACCCTATAACTATATTTAGATGAATCACAGTTCTTAGGGGCACATTAAAAATCTTATTAGGGAGATTAGATCCAAGAACTTACCAGACACAGACAAAGAAAGGGGGTAACAACTTCCTTAGAGAGACCCCATAAAGGTGGGCGCCTGCCTGAAGGCATCTGCTGCCACCAATCTGTGCTCGGGCCACCCAAGTGGCAGGGTGCGTCCAAGGCTGAGAGACAATGCCCTGGTCCCCAGGGCTTCAGCTGGCCTAGGTCCCTGCTGGTAACATCCTCCCTTTGCTTGTCTGGTCTGCTGCCTGTCACCTCCTGTTCCTTGGTGCAGGCCTTGTCCTGCCTTTTTTTTCTACAGCCAGATTCGATTCTGCAGTCCCACTCTTAACCAGTGACGCTTGCAGCAGCTGCTGCTGCATCTTCCTTGCAGCTGGGTTTGAGTTTGTTACCAATACAGACTAAATTAGTAAATTCTGACATTGCAGAATGACAGACAATGTTTCCTACAAAGGGCACACAAAACAGTGAGGCTCATATGGATTGCTCCGTGTTCTAATTTGTGGATGTGTGGGTGAGGAATATACGCTCACGTGTGCACACGTGCTTGTCCATGTGTGCACCTCTTGACGTCTGGAGCCTGCCTCTGTCACTCTCCACTGTATTTTCAGGCACAGGGTCTCTGACTGATTCTGGATTACCCCATTCAGCTGTGCTGGAGTCCAGGGATCCTCTGCCTCTTTGGTGCTGGAGTCACAGGTTTCCTCATGGCATGTGTGGCGTGTGTGGGAGTTGGGCCCCGTCCTACCTTAGGCCCTGTGCTTTCACAACAAGCACCTTACACGCGGTGCTGTGTCCCCAGCTCCTTGTTCTTCAAGGACACGCCAGTGTTGACTTTCTGTGTGCCAGCATTTGCCGACCTGGCTCCAACCCTCTGGATCCTTGCAGGTCCCGTTCCAGCTGCCTTCCTTTAGGAATGTGTTTTCAGTGGATAGAGTTTGAGACTGATAATCTGTTTCATCCAGGTTTTTAAATGAACGATTCAGATTTCTGTGGCGACTTCCTTCATTGGTGTGTGGTATGTGCTGTAAGTAGCTTTTAAGATTATAATCTCCTCTTACAAGATAAGAAAACCAAGGCTCAAAGAATTTAAGCAATTGGCCCAAGGACACCAGACCAGCTAAACCAGAACTTGCCTGTCTTTTGACTTCAAAATCCCAGTAGTCAGCCGGGCGTTGGTGGCGCACGCTTTTAATCCCAGCACTCGGGAGGC